CGGCAGGAAGTGGGGCCTCAGGAGGAAAGACCAGATGTCCTCCTGAGATGCTAGGAGGCACAGGAGGTTTCCTTCTAAATGGAGGGTGGAGTCTTCCAAGGCTGGACTTCCAGACTCCCCACTGAGAGTAAGCCCCAGCAGACCCTGGGAGATGCTTCTGGAGGGGCTCAGCTTTCCTCTCACTGTGGTGAGTCGGACACTGACATGGTTACCATAGTTACCATGGGAGAAAACCAACATGTGTAAGAGGGTCCAAGGGTCCAAGTCAGTTCTGCCTCCTGAGTCATCAGTTCAGTTGGGCTTCTGTCTAGGAGCGGGTTAAATGGGTGAGCTCTGAGGGCCCTTTCTGCACAACCAGCATCATGGATTGATGGTATGATTTGGACATTGGACTGGTTAGCTCCGTGATTACATTGAGGTGGTGCCTGTGGGGGTGTTGGCGATTGTTTCAAAATACACTCAGGAAAAGCCTTTATTCCCTGACTACCGACCTGGCCTTGTCCCTGCACATGGCCCCAGTCCCCTGATCCTAGACTGAGCAAGACAGACCCAGGCTGACCCTCCAAGAACACCAACTGTTTCACAACTCTAGGCCCACGGGGGCTGAAAGACTGCACAGCTCATCCCTGCTGCTGAGGCCATTGCTTGCAGACTTTCAGACTCTCACCAACCACTAAGGTCCCTTCCCCTTGAAACACCTTGGTTCTGAGGTCTAGGGCTACCTGGGTCAGGACCTTCTCTGGGATTCCATCTCCACTCTCACCCCCTGGCTGTCTGTCCCTCAGGGCCAGCAGGTGAGGGGTCCCAGATGCTGGACAAGGACACCAAGACCATGATGGGCACAGAAGACACACCCAGAGGCAAAGCCAGCCCAGACCCTCAGGACTTGCGGCCAAGTGTGATGCACAGCATCAAGGTACCTCTTGGGCCTGGCAGGGGCAGGGGCCTCCAAGCCCAGCAGAGCAGGCTCTGCCACCCAGTGGCTGTGTAATGCCAAGCAAGTCGCTGTCTTTTTCTGAGCCTCACTTTCCTCATTTGCAGAATGGGTGGTTGTGAGTATCCAAGGGATGATCCACGAAAGCACTTAGCTTGGTTTCGGGCACATGGAAGGTGCCCAGTACATGTTTTCTCCTTCCACTGCTCGCTGGGCAGTGGGGGACAAGGTCACTTGCCTCTAGTTTTCCTAGAGAAATAGAGATGTGGCCCTGGGATTCTGAACCTGTATGAATGCCAGAGAGTTCTGGCTCCACCAAGGGCAGCTGAAACATCCAACATCCACTGCCACCTACTGGGTGCCAGGCCCTGGGCCGGGTGCCCCATTCACATGGGATCTTATTCAGTCCTCGCATAGCCCTGGGAGGCAGGATCGTTGTCTTCATTGCATAGATGAGGAAACTGAGACACAGAAGAACAGAATGAATGTAGTAAGTGCTGGCATTAACACTGTTTTTAATTCTTTGAGGCAAGTTTTTCTTCTCTTAGAAACTCTGCCCGTGTTTTAAGAGAAAGACTACAGGCAGGCTGGGATGTTTGAGGTGGGGTGGGGCTGGGCAGTTTACGAATTTGTGTGTGCAGGTGGTCTCACAGAGCAGCTCTAGCACAGGTGGGGTGGGCTGGAGAAGGAGCTGGGTGAATCTGGGATAGCTTCCTGGAGGAAGAGGCAGGATGGTAGAACAGGGAGCCAGTCCAGCTCAGGGGGAACTCTGGGTCGGAGGCGGCTCCATGCAGACCCTACTCTCATTCACGGGGGTCTTTGGTAGCCTCCAGGCTCCCAGAGTGTACAGCTTTTCTAGTGTTAGATCAGTGTGAAAAAGCCATTGGCTACTCCAATAATTCTCTTTCTCTCTCTCTCTCTCTCTCCCTTTCCCCAACTTCTCTGTCCCCACTGCCTCCCTGTCCATTCGCCTGCTGCCTCCCATTGCTGTGGCTGCTCTGACAGCTCTTCGTCCTGTGCCACAGCCTGCTGCAGCTGGCACAGCTCATGATCTCCGGCTATCTCAAGAGCTCCATCTCCACAGTGGAGAAGCGCTTTGGCCTCTCCAGCCAGACCTCAGGGCTGCTGGCTGCCTTCAACGAGGTACTGGCCCTGGCCCAGCCCTGGGGGTGGAGGTGGAGGGAGACTTGTGCCCCACCTTCCACCATGCTCCTCCCTCACTACCCCATCACAGGGACTTCCCCTCCCAGTGCCCTCAGCAGCCCCCATCATAGCCCCCTTTCTAAAACCTCCTTGGCTTGCTTCTCCCCAAGTGTCCTGGCCCAGAAACTGACCAGCCCCAAGCTGAGGTGGAGGCCACCTCCTGCCTGTAGGCAGGGCGTTTGAAGCTGTCTGGGGACATGGGATGATTTAGAGCTAGCCGGGATCCCTATATCCACTCGTTCTCCCTTTGGTTCCTTCACCTTTTCAGGCACCTAGCCTTTGCCTGTCCCGGGAAGGAATCAACAGTAGCAAGAGAGGCTTAAATTACATCCAGGGAAGAACTTTCGGACTTAGGCTTGGGGGAGGGAGTGATACTGTGGCACAGAGAGTCGGTCCTCAGAATTGCCCAGGGATCCATGGGCTTCTGGGGCCCACAGCCAAGCAGGGAGGAGTGTGGATGAGCCTCTTTGGGTGGATCTGAGTCCAGCTGTGTCCCCACCCTCCCCCACCAGATGATTTCACCCTCGGAGAAGGAGCTCTTTCCGCCCCTGGCCTATTTCTGTGAAATTCTCTGCCCTTGGGTAATGCATCACGACCCAAGGCCTGCCCGCTGAACAGTGTCCCGGATGCTCCCCAGCATCCCATCCCCAGATCTCAGAGGTGGGTAGGGAAAGTCCTTACCTTGCTCTGGACCTTGGGCAAGTCACTGCCTGTCTCTGGACCTCAGTGTCCCAGCCATGAAATGGAGAGTGGCTGTCCCTCCCGGAGTCAGTCCCCCCACCAGTCGTCTGCTGATATTGCCCACTCCCCAGTGAGGAGCCTGGGGCTCACCCACGGTCACAGCTGGAAAGCAGTGGAGCAGATGCATCCCACAACTGGGACGCAGAGACGGCCCCTACCGGCAAGCTCTCCAGTCCCCTCCAGCAACCCCATCCCCAAATTCCAAGCCTTAATCCTGTGGCTTTAGACTTCGTTTCTATCATTCATGATGTCCCTGAAACTCAAAATCTCTTTCCATGACTGCCTGCCTCCTCCATGTTCTAACAAGGGATCTAAACCGTGTTCTGAAATGAAACTGAACTCTTAGCTTTGTGCACGCTGCTCTCATTTCTCTCCCCTAATGGGAGAGTGGGGCCTTTCCTGGGAGGACCCAGAATCTGCATTTATAAGAAGAACTCAGACGATTCTTATTCAGCCAGCCAGTCTGTTATGCAGATGGGAACACTGAGGTTGCCGATAGAGACAGGGAAGATGCAGGCCCCCAGCCTTGGGCTCTGCTCCACTTTAATGGGTCACCTTGTTTCTTCACAGGTGGGGAACACAGCCTTGATTGTGTTTGTGAGCTATTTTGGCAGCCGGGTACACCGGCCCCGACTGATCGGTTATGGGGCTGTCCTTGTGGCTCTGGCAGGCCTGCTCATGACCCTCCCACACTTCATCTCGGAGCCATACCGCTATGACCACACCCGCTCTGGTAAGAGCAGGAGGGGCTGGGCAGGAGATGGACAGGAGGAGCTGTGTTACTGTGCACTGAGGCCCACCCACAGGCCTTTATCTGGCAGGATGGGTCTCAGGACACCTGCTGCTCATTCCCACCCCCACCCCCACCCCCCACTGTCTCCTCCAGCCCAAGCCCAGATGGGTCTCTTGGCAGTCTGGGGGAGTGGGGTAGGGTGTAGTCCCAAGGCAGAGGGGTAAGGCCCTCTGGGCCTCTCTTGGTTAGGGCCTGCTTGTATGTCATTGTGGTTTTTTAAGATGGCTGTGAATTTACAACACAGCCTACTTTAGGGCCTGGCATGTAGTAGATCCTCAGGAAATGCTCATGGAATAATAACAGTATCATACACTATTTACTATGCACCTGACACTGTTCTAAGCACTTTATATGTAGTCATGCATTTAATCCTCACAAGAAGCCAAGATATTGATGAAAGCAAGAAAGAATGAGTGGGGCTGGCTGGTTAGCTTAGTTAGAGTGCAGTGTTGGTAACACCAAGGTCAAGTGTTTGGATCCCTGTACTGGCCAGCCACCAAAAGAAACAAAAACAAAAAACCAAGCAAACAAAAGAATGAATGAGTGAATGAACAAATAAAGAAATGAAAGAATTTTAGACAGAAAAATGAAACCCTGTTCAGCCCAGTGGGATTTTGTTGAGGTCCTACTCTGTAGATGGATGCCTGTCCCTTAGAGGATGATCCAAGCAGTGTGAGCACTCACTTTGTTTTCTTTCCTCTCCTATTCACCCATCCTCCCACTCATCCACTCATCCACCCATCCATCTATTCACCCATCTATCCATCCACCCATCCACCCATCTATACATCCATCCACCCATCCATCTATTCATCTACCCACCCATCCATTCATTCATCTATCCACCCATCCGTCTACCTTCCATCCAATGATTCACCCAACAAACCCTTAATGCTGCCTACTTTGTGCCTGATGCTCTTAGGAGATTCAGTCCTGTCTCTAGGGAGATCCCAGTCTAGGAGAGTAGACAGAGATGAACAAAAGACCCCCAGTGTGTCAGTTGCATGGGAAAGGAAGCACAGGAGCAAAAGGAGCCCAGGAGAGGAGCCCACACCCCAGACCAGCATGAGGAAGGCTTCCCAGGGGAGGAGGGCTGAAAACTCAGCATCTTCCCTACCTTGCTCTCCCATCTGCTCACACCTCTGGAGTGCCACTCTGTACCAAGACCAGGGTGTGGGAAGATGAAGTAGATGTGACCCAATGGAGTGCGGGGTTGGAGTGAGCATGGGCACCTCTGCTACAAGGTATAGAGCCTGGCGCCTATATGGAAGATGGCCAGAGGGAGCCATGAGAGGCCTGCACAGGGGAAAGACACCGACCTCTGGAGGCAGCTAGAGAAGGTGGCACTTGAGCTGCAGCTTAGAGAGAAGGTGGGCATGGCATGTGGGGCGGGGGGCGCAGGCAGGGCAGAGAAGTGAGGAAGTGCAGGGCGGTCATCTAGGCTTGAGTAGAAAGGCCTCAAGGGGACTGCTTGCAATGCCGAAAATAACACTTCCTCACATTTTCCTTTGTCCAGAGTTTTCGCCTTAACAGAGAGAGCTTTTTCTGCGCAGGGTCACATACATTCTTCCTCATCACTGCCATAGGACACCCCTCTGCCACGGGCCCCCCATGAAGCCCTAGCAAAGCCCTTCTCGTAAGCCTCAGTCTTCACAGCAGCCAAAAGAGTAGGCAAGACTCGGTGGTCTCCAGCCCCAGCCTGCTCTGACTCTCCAGGCTACTTCATTCATTCACTCCTCGTCTGATAATCATGAAGTGCTATTACGTGCCAGGCCCTCCACGAGGCACTGGGGACACAGGAATGGAAAAGGCAGACTCAAACTCTACAACGGTCACTGTACCTAATGTCCAGGAGGCGTTGTGACAGCCCTGCAAAACAGGTGTTATCATTATTTCCTCCTAAGTAAGGAAACTGAGGCTCAGAGAAGGGAGGAGCTTTCCTGAGTCCCGCAGCCAGCAGAACTGACACAGCCAGGCAGCCTGTCCCTAGGGTCCCTGCTCTTAGCTACTGAATTGTTCTGCTTCTGAATCCCTTTTCTCTGGAGAACTTCCATTCTAGGAGATTTGTTTAAGAGGTGAGGAAACTGAGGCCCAGAGAGGGTAAGAGCCTCTGTCAAAGCAGCCTGGGTCGAAGACCTAAGTCTGGGTTCTTGACCTTGGTTCACACGGCTCTTTCCAGTTTAAGGGAGTGGCTCTCTGGGCTGGTGGACACAGCTCACAGTCCTGGCTCCCATAAAGGGATGGCCACAGACAGAAGACCACCTCTACACGCACACCTGGGACAATAATAGTGTGAGGGTTTCCACAAGCTTGCTCACCAAATATTGGTGAGCTACAGGGAGCAAACATCTGTTATTAAATTCAGACATTCTCTTTTCTTCACTCTGCACCTGCGTCCCAAGCTGACACTGAACCCTCCCCAAGTGAATGCCAACGGTGCCAGAGCTCTCCACTCTCCAGCCCAAGCTCCCTCCCCTGCCTGCCCCACCTCCAGCCCTGGCCTTGCCCTCACAGTTTGTGATCCAGCCATTCTGAACTTCTCATTCTATCGACACGGTGCCCTTTCAAGGCCTGGGGTTTTGCCAGTACTATGACCTCTCCCTGGAACCCCTCTTCCCTCCCTCTCTTTCTGGAAAATCTTTTTTGTTCTTCTGGACGTTGTTCAAACTCTTCCTCTTTTGACTGTCCCAAACCACTCAAAAACCACTGTTGCCATGGCACTTTCAAATGCCTCTGCTCAGAAAGGTGGCACAAGCAGTTCAAGAGCATGGACTCTGAGGCCAGACTGCTTGCGTTCCAGTCCTGGCTCTGCCCCCTTGCTAGTTGCTGTCAGAGCATCAGTTTTCTCATCTGTGAAGTGGGGGTAATGAGAGCACCCAGCCCCTAGGTTTGTTGTGAGGATCAAATGATTTATCTACACAGCACTTAGAACAGTACCTTGCATCCGGTAAGTGCTATGTAAGTCTTAGCTATTGTCATAATATTTTTTATCACCACCTCTCAGAGGATATGCCACAGGACTTCGAGGCTACCCTGTGCTTGCCCATGACCTCGGCCCCAGCCCTAGCCCCCTCCAACGGCAGCTGCTCGAGCTACACAGAGGCCCAGCATCTGACTGTGGTGGGGATAATGTTCCTGGCACAGACCCTGCTCGGCGTGGGCAGTGTGCCCATTCAGCCCTTCGGCATCTCCTATATCGATGACTTTGCTCACAACAGCAACTCGCCCCTCTATCTTGGTGAGGACCGGGCCCACCCCTCAGGTTCTGATGGTTAGACCAGGCTCAGGTAGGAGGAAGGGAAGCCCAGGGTGGGGCCTGGACGCTGAGTCCCTGATCTCTGCCCCCTCTGGCCAGTAAAGGTCTGGAGAAGCCCTGGGGAGATGAATTGCTCTTGCCCATCAGAGACTGGGATGGTACTGACCTGCCGAGGGAAGCCAGGGCCAGAGGATCCTCACCGAGGCTTTGTGTTGCAGGGATCCTGTTTGCAGTGACCACGGTGGGGCCAGGCATGGCCTATGGGCTGGGTGGTCTCATGCTGCGCCTTTATGTGGACATTGACCGGATGCCAGAAGGTAAGCCTCAGGAGCACACGTTTGTCCCCAGGGTTATGCAGGCACTAGCTAATTGACCACTGGTCTCATAAGAGACACTAAGTCCGGGGACCTAGGGTCAAATCTCAGCAGCACCACTGACTGTGGACAAGCCACTAAAGCTCTCTGAGCCTCAGCTTTCTCCCAATGCTGTAGTCAGAATCCAGTGAGATGATGGAGATAAACTGTAAAGTGCCGTCAGATGGGGAGTTGTGGCTGCTGTTACTAACACCATATGACTGCAAGTCTTCACCTTGCTCGGTGCCTCACCTTCCACAGGCCCTCAGGCTGGTGCTCACACATGCTATGGGGCGGACAGAAGAACATACTCTCTCAGCCTGCAGGGAGCCCCCGTCCTTAGGGGGAAACAAGACCTGGGTAAAACAGAGAGGATGATGGCACACTGGAGAGAACTTTTGGAGCAGGCCTCAGTGACTTGATGTGTTACCCTGGGCCTCTCTCAGATGGGACATTTATTGGGTGACCTCTAAGGACCCTCCTAGCTCTGGCCACCCCAGAGTCTGGGAAACTGCCTGGGCACCACTTAGGAAACAGTGATCTCTGATCCAGCCAGTGGTCAGAGTGGGCCAAGGAGCAGGGTCGAAGCTCAGTCTGAAGGTGGCCAGCAGGGAAGAACGTTGGGGTTCCAGAATTCTGAGGGTGGGAAGGGATTCCTGTTAGAATACATCACTTTGTCATCTCAGCTGCCTGCCTGTCACGCCAGGCAGCTCTGAACTCCCGGGTGTGCCTTCTGCCTCTCGCTACTCAGAAGTCCTGTCTGTCATGGGGAGATTTTCCAGCAGGTCCTGGAAGACTCAGATGACACATATGTGGCTGGATGGCCATGAAAATGCTGCTTTTTGTTTTCCAGCTTTTGTTCCCGGGTGCCTCTAGCCAGGACAGATCTGGGCAGCTCTGCACAACAGTCACTGGGACAGCCCTGCCCCACCTCCCTTCTCTCTAGATTACTGGGCTCAAGAGCCAAGCCTGGGCTCTGGGTGCATCTCCTTGCTCCCCTGAAGGAAATGTCCTGGGAGTCAGAGGCTCCCTAGGTTTCCCAGACACATCTCAGCTCAGGGAAAGGAGATGCATTTTCTGACCATGGATGTCATCCTGGCAGACTGGACATGCAGTCCAGAGGCAAGCAGAAGTGGCATTTCTACAGGCAGATGTGCCACCTCCCAGGTCCCTCTTTCTTTATGGGGGATTCTATAGGGTGGGCGGATCATGCCTGCTGTGGAGAAGCTGGGGAGGTGCACATGTGTGCTCTCACTGTCTGGCACGGAGGCAGGGGGACGATAAGTGAGGGGAATCAGCCTGGTCAGTGCAAAAGCCAAACCCACCCCCGGCTGGCTTTACAGATACATCTGCTGAGTGCCTACTGTGTACTCTGGCCCTGCCCAGGAGGAGCTCAGGATGGAGCATGTGGGGAACCAGCCCCATACGTGGAGTTGGTGTCATCACGCATTTGTATTTGTATGAAGTATTTGTGGGTGCTGTGGAGATTAGAGGAGGATGTACCCAACTCAGCCTTGGGATTAAGAAGTGTGATGGGAGATTCATACACTCTAACCAGGGGGACATCTGGGATGATCTAGTCCTAATTAAACCTGGTGGGGGATCAAAATCACTGGGGGAACTTGTTAAAGGTATAGATTCCTTAGTCCTTCCCACCCCACCCTGTGGTCATCCTAACTAGGTCTTCAGTAAGGCAGGTATTTTTGACAAGCACCCCTGGTGATATTAATCCTCATACAGGTCTGTGAACCACAGCAGTATCGTTAACCATTAATTTAATAATAATAATTATAATAATAATAGTGAGAAGAAGACGAAGGAGAAAGAGAAAAAAGGAGGAGGAGGAGGAGGAAGGGTAAACATCTGCACAGCACATACCCTCCTAAGTGCTTCACGTGTGTCAGTTTCTATATTCTCACAAAAACCCTACAATACACGAACTATTAATATACGTATTTCACACAGGAAGAAACTGAGGCACAAAGAGGTTAAGTAGCTTGCCCCAGGTTATAAACTAGTAATGGAATCCAGACCTAGCAGTCCATTTCCAAAGTCCATGACCTTGACCACTGCACTACATTGTGTCAGTAGTTGAAGAAACCAAGGCCCAGAAAGGGCAAGGGACTTGCCTACGGTCACACAGGGCAAAACTGGCAGAGCCAAGACCAGATGCAGATCTCCTGACTCCCACCCGGGCTGCCTCATGTCTCAGGGGCCAATCCCAGGGTGGTGGCCTACAAGTGACAGCCCACCCTGACCCTAACATCATCACGGTCTTCTCTTCCAGGTGGTATCAGTCTGACCTCTAAGGACCCCCGATGGGTGGGTGCCTGGTGGCTGGGCTTCCTCATCTCTGCTGGCGCGGTGGCTGTGGCTGCCACCCCCTACTTCTTCTTCCCCAGGGAGATGCCCAAGGAGAAGCATGAGCTCCACTTCCGGCGAAAGGTCTTGGCCGCTGCAGCCACACCTACCGTCGAGGTAAGCCCCTGCACGTGCTCTGCCCCAGTGCAGGCTCCAGCCCCTGCCTACTTGTCCCCCTTTGTGACATTAAAATTTCATTCCTCGTGTGCACTACACTTTACAGTTCACCAGGCTCATCCCTGTCTGGGCCCCACTGCATCCTCCCGAGAGCCCTGCACGGTGAATATCTCCTGCCCCTTCCACACTTGAGATCAAGGGCCAGAGGTGGATGGGACTTGCCCAAGATCACAGGGTCAGAAAGGGCAGTGCTGGGATGAGAACCCACGCCTGCCCTAGTCCTGCCCTTCACGGTGACCCCTATACTCCCACCTCTGTGCTTGTCACTTCAGTTATAAATTCTGAATGTTCCACAGGAATATTAAGAACTGGGACAGTGCAGAGGGCGGGTGGGAGAGTCTGGGAAGACTTCCCCAAAGAGGAGGGATTTGAGCTGGACTTGGGAGGATGTGAGGAAGCACAAGGGAGAGGGATGGGCATTCTAGGCATGGGCAAATAGCCTGGGCAATGAGTTTGGCTGTAGAAATGATGCTGGCCCTTTAAGAGACAGTGAAGGGGACAACAGGCCCCAGACTGGACACTAGAGATCGGTTCATGGTCTGACCCTAAAAGCGGGAACCGCCTACTGAGGACAAAGACTCATGGACAAGTAACAGCTGGTATGACGCTCAAGGGATGACTACCGAATCCTTCTGATCTGCCCTCGGGTGGGTGTGCCTCCCCTCAGAAGAGGATACAAGGCCCAGTTGGTGGAGGGATCTGTCCAAGGCCACCACGCTGGTAAGAGAGGGCAGGACCGTGTGAGCCACTGGGCAGGACAGAGGATTCTGGGCCAGGGGCTTCCACGTTTTCCAGGGACCCACAAAAACACGAGGCCTGAAAACCAATAAATTGGCTCCAAATTAAAAAGAAAATGACAAAATAGAACTTTTAAAGTTTAATCATGTATCATTAATGTCGACTTCATTAATTTTTCTTTAACACTCATACATATTTCATTACATTCTGAAATCTCTGTGTTAGATTTCCTTTTTTCCCAAGTATGGGAGGTGCCTATTGAGAAATCACAGACAATGAAAAATTAAGTTACTTGTTGCTAAATAATTCTAATTTCAAAGGGACAATTTATAAAAATCCTATCAAATGTTTTGCAGCAAAAATTCTATTTACCGTGGCAAGTTGGTGCATTTGAATTACTTGCTGTAATGTGGGATAGCGCCTCCTTCTTAGAGCAAGAGATTCTGGGCCTAGGAGAAAGGACTGAAAATGTCCCTGCCTAGGAAAGCTGGGATTTGAGCCCAAGTCCGTCTGACTCACAGACCCGGCTGCCCTACCGAACCTCACCACCCCATTCCCACCCCAGCCCCTACCCCTGGCCGGAGCAGAGGGCATGTACACGTGGGGACCAAAGCAAAATGACTGTTGGAACAGTCAAGACCAGTGNTGCAGGCTCCAGCCCCTGCCTACTTGTCCCCCTTTGTGACATTAAAATTTCATTCCTCGTGGGCACTACACTTTACAGTTCACCAGGCTCATCCCTGTCTGGGTCCCACTGCATCCTCCCGAGAGCCCTGCACAGTGAATATCTCCTGCCCCTTCCACACTTGAGATCAAGCGCCAGAGGTGGATGGGACTTGCCCAAGATCACAGGGTCAGAAAGGGCAGTGCTGGGATGAGAACCCACGCCTGCCCTAGTCCTGCCCTTCACGGTGACCCCTATGCTCCCACCTCTGTGCTTGTCACTTCAGTTATAAATACTGAATGTTCCACAGGAATATTAAGAACTGGGACAGTGCAGAGGGCGGGTGGGAGAGTCTGGGAAGACTTCCTCAAAGAGGAGGGATTTGAGCTGGACTTGGGAGGATGTGAGGAAGCACAAGGGAGAGGGATGGGCATTCTAGGCATGGGCAAATAGCCTGGGCAATGAGTTTGGCTGTAGAAATGATGCTGGCCCTTTAAGAGACAGTGAAGGGGACAACAGGCCCCAGACTGGACACTAGAGATCGGTTCATGGTCTGACCCTAAAAGCGGGAACCGCCTACTGAGGACAAAGACTCATGGACAAGTAACAGCTGGTATGACGCTCAAGGGATGACTACCGAATCCTTCTGATCTGCCCTCGGGTGGGTGTGCCTCCCCTCAGAAGAGGATACAAGGCCCAGTTGGTGGAGGGATCTGTCCAAGGCCACCACGCTGGTAAGAGAGGGCAGGACCGTGTGAGCCACTGGGCAGGACAGATGATTCTGGGCCAGGGGCTTCCACGTTTTCCAGGGACCCACAAAAACACGAGGCCTGAAAACCAATAAATTGGCTCCAAATTAAAAAGAAAATGACAAAATAGAACTTTTAAAGTTTAATCATGTATCATTAATGTCGACTTCATTAATTTTTCTTTAACACTCATACATATTTCATTACATTCTGAAATCTCTGTGTTAGATTTCCTTTTTTCCCAAGTATGGGAGGTGCCTGTTGAGAAATCACAGACAATGAAAAATTAAGTTACTTGTTGCTAAATAATTCTAATTTCAAAGGGACAATTTATAAAAATCCTATCAAATGTTTTGCAGCAAAAATTCTATTTACCGTGGCAAGTTGGTGCATTTGAATTACTTGCTGTAATGTGGGATAGCGCCTCCTTCTTAGAGCAAGAGATTCTGGGCCTAGGAGAAAGGACTGAAAATGTCCCTGCCTAGGAAAGCTGGGATTTGAGCCCAAGTCCGTCTGACTCACAGACCCGGCTGCCCTACCGAACCTCACCACCCCACTCCCACCCCAGCCCCTACCCCTGGCCGGAGCAGAGGACATGTACACGTGGGGACCAAAGCAAAATGACTGTTGGAACAGTCAAGACCAGTTGATTTGAGCCCAAGTCCGTCTGACTCACAGACCCGGCTGCCCTACCGAACCTCACCACCCCATTCCCACCCCAGCCCCTACCCCTGGCCGGAGCAGAGGGCATGTACACGTGGGGACCAAAGCAAAATGACTGTTGGAACAGTCAAGACCAGTGGGTAGCCCTGCATGGAGGGTAAGCAGGGGGGTCCATGGCTCCATCAGCAGGTACTGGGCAGATCAAGGATTGTGAAGGACAAGGACAGTGTGCAGAGAGAGGCTGAGGGCTGAGAGAACAACAAGGCAGCTCTGGCAATGGTCCAGGCAGGAAGTAGTGCATTGACAGCAAGGGGATGGGGTGAAAGCAGGAGCTGCTCAGGAGGGGACTGCACAGACTTGGGTACTGCTCTGCTACGGAACGTCCCAGAGACAGTGAAGGCTTGGGCAGATGCTGGGATTGGGTGCAGCTGGCTCAGAGGCAGGGGGAAGCAGGTGCTGGGGAGAAACCAGTTTCAGGGGAAGAAGACAGCTTGGAACCACAGATGGTCCTTCCCAGTTCTGCCTAACTCAGGCCAAAATTTGGATGAGGTGGAATTCCTGGAACTTGGGAAAGAGTTCTTGGAAATGGGGGTGATCGTAGAGGAGGGAAAGAACCTGCATTGCTGGCTACAAAAAAAATCTCTAAGTGGGGTCCTAAATTTGAACAGAGAAGGCCAATTGGGCCATGGGGTGGAATTAGGTAGAAGCAGCAAGGGTTAGGGGTGGGGGACTGTCTATGCTGTGCTTGCTCACATGTCAGCCGTGTGACCTTGAGCAGCAAGTCACTTCCCCATTCTTTGCTGCTGTGTAAGATGCTGAGGTTGGATTCCTGGAGTAATATTCTATGCGCCTCAAATTCTGAGAATGCACGATCCCTTGAGTCGAAGCTGCTGTGATTCAGAGATTCAGATTTTAAGAGCTGTGTCTCTGTGATGCCTGGAAACTCTGGCTCCCCGGCTGTGAACCTGTCTGGCTGTCTGGATTCATTCTGTCAGCACATTAGGGATGGGAAATGGAAAGGGAAGGGGGAGAGAGGTTCTTAAAAAAGAACCGAAGACTGAGAACATGATGATCTTCTTCCAGCAGCTCTCAGGCAATAAATATTGATGTGGGAGGAGCTGCTCCTCTGCCTCCTGAGGCTGCCCTAGCTGGGTCTGCTTGCAGTAATGCGGGCTGTTCTGGCCCACTAGGGCCACTGATGGGTAGGTTGATGGACCAGGAGGAAAGGCCCAACTGAGCAGAATTGGCTGCCAGCGAGTCCAGGTCCCCAGACACGGGATGTGTATCTTCTACAGGGAGAGGAAATGGGCAAGGGGAGAGAGTGAAAGGGGACCTATTTCTGAAACCCTGCCAAGCACTATGCCCCCAGGCTCAGGGCTCAGAGGTGCTCTAAGTACCTTCCTCCAAGTAAATGCAGTTTTGAAAGGTAGCCGGGAGATGGTGGTCCATAATCTAAGGATTATGTGACCCAGAGAAGGTCTCCAGCCTCAATCTCCCTATCTGTATAATGGGCAGCAGAGTGAACAAGTCTGCCAGCTCTGACAGGTCCAATGCTGTCTCCTCTAAATGGCTCCTGCCCCAGGGAGCTCTGGGGTAGTGAAGGAAGGCCAGGTGCACAGAGATAGGGGATGACAGGCCAAGTTTCTCCCCTGGCCATGACTATAGGGTTCTCCACCTGGGGGGTGAGGGTTTTCACAGTCCCCACAGAGAAGAGTATGAGCTGGGGGTGGGGGAGGCCATTCAGAGAATGGGAGGATCAGGAGCCCTGCTTCCTGCCTTGGGCTCTGTCTCTGTATCAGTGACCTCAGAGCTCAGATGGCTACCCAGATACCCTCCTAGGAGCGATTCAGGACAAGCCTCACTTCTCCAGGCCTCTGTCTCCCCATCTACAATCAGCCAGTTCCTGAGGTCCTATCAGGCCCTAGAACTGGCAGATGGCTCTGCAGGGTCTCTGGAATAAAGATGGGGTCTTAGGGGTTCCCTGGAAGACTCTCTGTCCTCATCTGTCCCTGTGGTGGTGGTGTCCCCATTTGGCCAGCAACCTTCCTGTGCCCTCCATGCCCCCTGGTCCTCTGAGAACCTGCCGTTGGGGCTGAGTCAGGGGCTAACAGGGGCCTGGCCAGCTG